TGAGAAGTTTTTTCAGCGATTGAATGTTGCAAAAAAAAGACTAATATGAAGTAGAACTATTGAAGTGAACAATTGAACATAGAGAACCAAACTTTGTAGGTTTTTTCTTCTTCAATACGCCAAACTTACAATGTTGGAGTTATACTACAACTTCCTCCTTAAGTATTGCGATGAGAATAAATTCCAGGAGTTGGAGATGGATACGTACTCTATGTATCTAGCCTTCGCAGAAAATAACCTGGACGATTGTATATTACCTGAGACGAAAGCTCAGTGGACACTAACTTGTCGAAATGATTGTAGAGACGACTTTATAGCTGATGCAGATAAAAATTGTTTTCCACGTACATACTGCTCTGTTCACAAAAAGTAAGACAAACGAGAACCTGGATTAATCAAAGAAGAATTTCGCTGCACTGAAATGTTGTGTCTGTGCAGCAAGACGTACTGCTACTATGATAGTAAGACCGACAAATTTAAATTTAGCAGCAAAGGACTCAACAAAAGAGTGCTAGAAAACACTGGGGATGGGCCAATGTCTAAACACAGACGATTTCATGACGAAGCTGTAAATTTGAAGTGGACGAATCGCTGATTCAAACCTCTTAAACATATGAACAAAATAAAAAAGTTTTCAGTTACTTTTAGCCGAAAAGGGAGGTACTTGATGATGCAATACAAACTAAACCATTGAATTTGTAAATTTAACCTTTAAACTGTAGTAAAATTTCATACGATGCAATGATTTATATGTTATTTGACATTTCAACTGTAATATAACATTTTACAGTAATTTAATTTTTTTTCTGAAAAAATTTAATTTCTTCTTTGAAGCTTCAGTTCGGTTTCAGCATTGTTTCAGTCACTTTCAAATTAAACTCAAATGGTTTAAAACAAAATTAAAATCATATCTTAAAACACTGAAAAATCTATGACCTATCGGATTGGTGTAGAGGATCTTAAAACATGGTAAGATCGGGCGCCAAAAATTTTTTTCTGAAACTTACCATCTCAAACCTTACCATCTTAATTAGGAAACCTATTCCCTATCTTAATACATAGGAAATCTATTCCCTATCTTAATACATAGCTTGAAGACCGGATACTCTATTCCCTATCTTAATAAATGGGGGTCTCCACCCCCCCCCCCCCTGATCGCCTCACATATTTACTACTCAAATGCATTTGATGAAATAAAAGTAAAAAAATTGGTTAATCTAAAAAAGCAAAAGATAAAATGAAAAATTTGCGATATCTCAAAAAGTTCTAAATTTGAGAAAAGAAAACTTTCAGCGTGCAAAAAATACCGTTTTTGTAAAATGTGCATTAATCAACGAAGATTTGAACAAACCGAAATATTAAATAACCTCGAAAAAAGAAGCGCGAGATCAAAGCTTAAACAGAATCGATAGTGTTTCTATCGTTTGACTATCGATAGATTCACAAAGCTTTCACATGACCAAATTTTGAACTAATTGTTCAATTTTCCGTAACTTGTTAGTGTTCAAATTTTTTGAAAAGCAAGTTTGAGTTAGCATCATCAAAACATTTTAATTATAAAATTAACTGAGTAGTTTGGGAAAGCTGCAATATCTCGAAAAACAGAAGTTTCCAAATAATCATTTTTGGGCGGACTTTTGCAACCCAAATTGGCGTACTGAAAATCAAGTAAACATTTTTTGAGGGAAAAGGAAGTGAATTTTCAAAAATAAAACAAAAGAGCTCCGAATAACCGAAAAACTATAAAATTTTAGATTGAGAACAAAAGAAAAAACTTCAATTGAATTCAATTTTACAAATCTGTTGGAATTGAATTGGTTTTGGCATTAGATATTTCGGAGCTTAACACATCTAGTTAATAATTTAGTAGATATAGGTTTCACTGAGATCGGTTGTTTGAAATATATGAGAGATTACCTCTTGTTTTAGTGACCAACTCTGTTCCGATAAATAGCTTGTTCAAAAAAACATAGTTCTAGAGAGCGCGCATATAAATTTCAAGAAGCATAAGCACGAAAAAAACAAAGCCAGAAAAAAATTTATATAGATTTAACTCGTTATCAAAAGTTCGTTTGAAGCAGATCAATTTATCAAAGTATCCTTAAAAGAGTTCGCTATTGCAGTTGGTGTGATTATCGATTTTTTATCTAAATTTACACTCAGATTTCTAAAAAATTTAAGCTTTAACCTGTTTTTTTTCTAAATAACATAAACTGACCTAAACATGACTCGAATCTCCAATGCATATTTTGTTATTTTTGTAATAGCATTCGTTGTTTTGCTTGACAAGCCATCTGATCAACTTTATTTCAATTTTAATTTTGTCATAATAATTCGGTTATCCACCTTCCAAGGCTTATGTAAATTGCTTATGCAAATTGCCATAGTTATTTGCTTGCTGAACCAGTCGACAGTACATTAACGGAAACGTTTCAATTTTTGAATTTTTGCATAGATGCGAACACATCCGTTGGTTCTGCTACGCAACTTGCAAAACCTTCAGACGCAATTTTATTCAGCTATGAGCGTGGAAGGTTTTTTATTTTTTTACCTAATAATGTACAGTTTTTGAAAGTTATATCATGTGAATTTGTTTATAAACTTAGTTCAAGGATAACTGGATAGTGATCGAAAAAATATCAGGTTTTCATTTAAAAAAAAAAAAACGTTTTCATTGACCTAATTTCATTCATTTAGATGGTCAAGGCAAGAATCTCTTTAATCAGAAACAACCGTAGGCGTGTTGATTAACAGAGCAAATCCGTTTGCTTATATGTTGTTCAGATAAAGACTTGTTAATTCAGTTTTTAAAGATCGATATTGAAATCACGCATCAAAACTATAGAAAACTTATTTTTGATGATTTCGTCAAGTTCATGATTTAATTCCTCTAATAATTTAAAATTATCTACCCTGCGAGGCCCAAAAAACACTACTACAATTAGCCGCATGCTATAAATAACTTGAAAGAAAAAGAAAATTTCTAATCAAAATTACTCTTTGAACGCAAGCGAAAATTTCACACAACCTAAATAAATGAAACTTTCTTTGCAAAAACGTTTTGCAAAATTTTTGAAAACCTGATTTAAAAATTGAGTTAAGAAAAAGCAAAATTTTCCAAACATTTTTTTTTCAAGTTGCCATCAGAGAGTTTAGAAATGTCGCATTTCAATAATTTTCAATGTTTTAATTTTCAAAGTCCGAGCTTTCACCATTTGTTTTGTGAGCGCAAGCTACGAAACATGAATTTTAAACAAGACTGCTCGTATCATGGCGAAGCCCTGATTGTTCTGACTGCCTTTTAAGGTCTATGGAGCTGTTATAACATGAAAAATTAAATGTAAAAAAAGTAAAACATATATATATTTTTAATTTGAGTTGGAACAATTTGGAACGATTTCTCCGACGGATCAAATCTCGAAATATATAGCGCGAAATATATTGCGCATTAGTTGTCACAAATTGGCCAAAATGGCAATTATTAAACCCCCATAACTTTACGAAAAATGATCACAGATAAAATATCTTTTCAAATTTAAGCTCAGGACAACAATACCTTTCGAATGATATTTTTAAAATTCTGTCAAAATTGGCTAGTTAAAAAGTCGAAATTTGTCTGAAGAAAAAAAAAACCCAACCCGAGCACAAATATTCCGTTACTTTCGTTACGAAAGTCGGAACAAAAAAATAAAAATGGAGGAATAAATTATTCGAACTTAAAGTTTGGAGTAGCAGGCTTCATTCCACTCGACAACGGGCGTCTAGCATCACTCAGTCATCTTCTGGAAGGCATCACTCGAAGTCATCACTCGAAGTCAAGCAGCCCAATTTGACATTACTAGTTTAATTCAAATGAGGCTATCTTAACTGCCTAACTCAATTTTATTATAGAGGCTGAAACTTGATACATCAAATAACCATTCTCGGTAAATTGGATCGAAAAGAAAATTTTCATATCGCCTGATAAAAGAAATTCGAAGTCAATCAGCAAAAAAGTAAGTTAGAATTTACAAAAAAAACCACGTCATAATTAATGGTCTAACTTTAGCCTTCTTTAAATTGTGGAACCAAATAGCATGAGTCTTTATTGACGTTTTGTCCAAAAATTGGATGGATAACTTATGCGAAATTTGAATATTACAAAAAAAAGATCCGAAATAACTAATTTTGTTTTGTAAACTTAGGATTAGTATTGGAAAAAAACAAACTGCCATATTTCATCTTCGTGACTTTTTATGTTAAATTAACCCTAAGGATTTTGCTTGGTTTGTTAATTTTTTTTCTGAAAGAGTAAAATCGGCTCTGTATTGACCAAAAACAAGTTATAATCTTCGAGATTTGGTATCACATTTGACCGACTATTGTTCCGACGATTTCACGAATTGAGGTCTGTTTTTCTTCCAAAGGATTTTTTTTCACCTCACTCGGCGAAGAAAACGCATAGGCGTTAAAATTTGGTATCAAATTCAAACTTTGCAGCCGTGACTTGGATACTGAAAAAAGTTGGCATTTTGACAAAGCGTTGGCAAAAACGCCAGCATTTTTTCTCGTTTTTCAGACTAAGAATTCGTTCCGAGTGAAACTTTCAGGCTGAAATTCCAGTCCATTCTTCTGAGATTTTTTCAAGCTTCCTATCTATTATTAACTGGTTGTTATGACTCATTAACCAATACAGACTTCTCTCACTGACTGAAAAAGCTACAAAGGAGTTCTATAAAAAAAAGAAATTATTGACATTTTTTTCTATTTTTATATCTGCTTTTAAAAATTCGCGAGGTTAGAACATTCCGAGCTACTTGAACAGCAAACGGCGCTCAATGTTCGATACTCAAATATCTGCTACTTGCAGATATTCGAGTACCGAACAATGATAGCCGTTTGCAGTTTAAGTAGAAGAGAATGTTCTGACCACGCGAATTTTTTTAAACAAATATAAAAAAAGAAATAAATATTCAATTATTTCAAGTTTTAAATAAATTCTAACTTTAGGATAAAAAAAGTAGATAAAAACACTGAATTTAACTAAGTAGCACATTGAATTCAAATAAGCATTTCAATCTTAAATTCGGGACATTGACGTTCAATAAAAAAGTTTTTTTAATTTACAGAGTCCCATCTAAATATTGCCGACCGATGACGTCATCATAATTATTGACGAACACACCTGGGCTATTATGTTGGTTAGATAAATAGGTTGCCTGTTGCTGAATAAATAATGATTGTATTTTCTTATATAACGTAGATCGATCTTTTTTGCTCTCAATTCCAATCTGCTTGAAAAATCTTTTACTCGCTAGTTCGATCATTCGACTCTGCTTCGGATGTTGTCGTACTGAGGTGAGAGCTAAATTTTCGATCGCAGCTAGAACTTCGTTCATTGTGTAATATCCGTGCACTTTGAAGTTTTCGCAGTACTTATCCAATTTGAATCGGCCCAAAACTTCGTCAATTGCTACTGAGTTCGAGTCTAAAATCAACGTTCTTTCTGGGCTCAACGGTTTGTAGTTGTAATGCACACTGGAATTCAGTTGGTAACAGTTAGGGTCGGCTGATTGCTTCCTGAAATAACAAAGAAACAATTTTTAATTTCCAAATTAATTAGAAATTAATTATACATTTGAGGGCAAATTACTATATAACAATTTCCATCTTTGACAAAAGAGTAAAATTCCAATTTAACTCTTTTAACTTCCGCCAAAATTATTCAGATTGCCAAAATATTGCGAAATAGGAAAATCATTTTGTTTGAGATTTTCAGCTGCAGAAGCTTTTATATCACTTACAAGAATGTTTTATGAATAGGTTGATAATTATTTGCAGGCGTCGCGTGCTGCTGCATGCTCGGACTTCTCACAAAATTGTCCAGGAACGCTCTGATCTGGCTGAACCAGGGTCGCTTCTGGGGCGCCTCAGATGAACACAACAAGAGTTCATCAATTCGTGCAGCGCTTCCGGACAACTTTTGGGTTTCGGGAACCCTCGCCAGGAAACGCTGGAAACAATTTTGGATATCTCGGATACTTTGTTGCTTCCGAAAGGTCGTTCGCCTTCCGAGAAGCATTCGAAAATGAGACATCCGAAGCTCCAGATGTCACTGAAGAGAGAGAAATTGTAGGGGGCAAGGAGGGCTTCAGGAGCAGTCCAAGGAGCGATGTCTTCGAACACAAGGGGGAGTTTCTGGACATCATAGGAGTTGCTGCAGTTCAAGAAGAAGAGATCCATGTCTTCTTCCAGCAGCGTTCGTTCGTCAAAGCCGGCTATTTTGGGCAGGAAAGAACCACTAATGAACACGTTGCGAGCTCTGAGAACCTAAAAACATTAAACATATAAACACTCAATTGGACAATTCGTGTTCAAAAAGTCTTCGATTAACAAATGGATGCAAAACAAAATCATGAAACAAGTATTATAAAACTGATCGAAGCAAATTTCGATAAAATAAGTTTTAAAAATCTATAATGATTATTTGTGATAAAGAAAAGTTCGCAAAAACTGCAATGAATTCGTTCATTCTTCGAACGTGCCGGGGAGAGGATTGGGAGTTTAACTCTACCCCTTACTCAAATATTCCACTACCTGGTCTCCCAAAGGATCCCTAATCCTTTGGCTCATTTTACGATATTAACTTTTGATCTACTAACTCTAAAATCCTAAATCTGCCCCTGATTTAAATAACTTGCTCTGTCTAACAACCTCTGAAAAAATCAATTGAGAAAAAGTTTACCTTGTGAATATAGCCCTCATCGGCCAAGTAGTGCATTCCACAAGCTACGCCCCTCAGAATGTGGATGATGTGTTGCGTGGCGGCAGCCTCACAGTTTAAATGTTTGTTCACCCCGCCCTCGTGATCATCCACAACTCCACCCCCTCCCCCTACAACACCCTCCTCGGGGTACAAAAAGTTAAGCTGACTGCTCATGAGGGGAAGCAAAGTGTCCAGAGATCCCCGCTCACAGAACTCCAGCACCAGCATCTTCGGCGACTCTTCTACCAAAAAATTACAATAATTAAATCAATTCAATTTGAAGCGCAGTTTTAACCTCGAGTTTAATGCAATTCCTAATTGACTTTTATTCGCGCGGCTTTTTAACGACTTTTAGAGTTAAACATGGCGGATCAATGAGATACAACTAGCGCAAAACGTCCTGTCGAGTTCCGGTTCCTTCGAAAAAATTGAAATATTATCGAACGTGTCGCGATCGATACTGTTTCAGGCTCCATTTTGAAAAAATCAGTTCAGAAGCTAGGCAGAGGTGAAAAGAATAAATCGAAGATTTGAATTTAAAAAAGCAGACTATTTCATCAAAAATGAACTATTAGCATATTCAACAAATTTTTTGAAATTAGCAGACAAAAAATTCATTATATAGACATAATTCATCGTGGTTTTATTCGCCCCCAGCAAGCCCGAAAGGGCAACGTTAGATCTCCCTATTTGACAGGAAATTAAATGTCCGACGGAATTTCTCTTGATGCAAATTCAACTTATAAACAAGCAGGGACAGCGCAACTTATATCGAGCGCAAAACCTCAATAACTTTGATAAAAGAGGTCACACTGTTTTTCGAATTGAATCCAGCCTTGTGCAATTTAATCGGCCAAAAACTATAACACTTTAGGTTAATTAGAGTTTTTTCACGGTTTTTACGCGTTAAGTCAGTGAAACACAGAAATCCGACGTCAAAACAATCAGTTTAGGTTAACTAATTTCGTTTAGATTCGTTGACCGAAAAGGTATTGCCAATTTGGCATTAACTATACAATGAATGATCACTATGCATATGTTCCAATAGAGAGATAAGTAATTTTTTTGCCCAACATTATTAATATCGTGAATAAAAAATATTTCGAAGCGGTCCTAAATTTATTCAAAAAATAGACGACTCTGAAAAAGTGCAATCGTTTTGCACTGCTCATTTGACTGTTCAAATGCAATTTTCAAACTTTAGTAGCAATTCAACGTCATTTGAGGGTCTCAAGGTCAGAATTTTCGGCCATTTAGGACATTGTCCAATAATTTTGTTAAAACTATAACAAAAGTTTGTTTTGCGAGAGACTGTTAAGACTCTTGTCACTAGGGCGTGTTTGAAGCGCTGGGTTGAGCCGGGTTTTTTCTTTAGTTGCGACCAAAATCAGAGACAAGGTCAAAACTTCTTCGATTGTTGATAATAATCAACCGACAAAAGAAGATTCTTTCAAGATACAAAAATTGAGATCTTTTACACCTAGAAACATCTCTATGACCTTTGCTTTAGTTGGAGTGGACTTTGATTCATTCAAGTGGTTCTCTATGAAAGTTTAGATTGGTTTGAAGTTAAACAGTACAATCATGAAAAATTCTTATGTTTCAACCAAGCATCAAAACGCAGATAACACTTGACTAAAAACATGTGCGGGTACTCAGCGACCACTTAGTTTCATTTGATTAGATTCTCAGGGCCAAAAAGTTGCTGTTTTCGCTGAGAGCGACATTAGCTGTCAGAAGCACCTAATTTATAGCTTTTGAGATCAACATTTTTCGAAGATTTATATATTTTTAATTGTCGGATATTTTTGATTCAACATTTAATATTCATGATGAGTTGTAAAACACTCACTCTGCGCTTCTTAACCGAATAAAAAGCTGCGAACTCTTCAGAATATGTGAAGGTAGCTTTTTTATGGTGATTTGGATTTTAAATGGTCACATTAATTCTACAAAAATGCCGATCTTTTCAGGATTTGTTCAAGAGTTGAACCCAAAAACATTCTGAAATGGTGAGGCTAGGGTTCAAACCTCGTATAGTTGGCTTGAAAAGCCAACTCAAAACCAAAAGCACGATCGACATGATTTCCCATTCGTAAACTAAGATACAGATAAGCTAAAAATCAAGGCTAAGGTGGGGCTCGAACCACCGGCCTTCAGTTTTAAAGACACAAGGAAGTAATCATTACGAAAAAAGTTAAAATACCTGATTGTGTGATTACTCCGTGAAGCATGACAACATTCGGGTGGTTGAACTGAGCCAAAGTGGCCGCCTCGATTGCGAACTTTCGCCACATATCCTGCGTGTATTGTCTTTTGAGTGTCTTAGCGGCCGCGTAAACAAAAGAGCCCTCGGCCGAATTCTTGTTCAGATCTGAAGACGAGGTTGAGTCTTGGCTGAAGTTGTAGTGTTGTGTTTCCGCCGAGAATGATCCCCCATGTATTGATGCACTGAGAAGAATCTTTTCTTGATTCTGCATCCCTCTGAGCGTATATTCGTTCTCTTAAAAAATAATTATCTTCATTTTCCGAAGGAAAAAACACTTGCTGGTTTTCACCTACGATGACTTCATTTGTTGTCATTTTACTTCAAAACACAGCATAATTATCGTATTCTTCAGAAGGGGATTTCAAGTTATCAGTAAAAAAAGGCTTATCACAGATTTTAAAAATTTTACGTTTTGATTTTCTAAGTGATGTTCCATCTAGTAGCTTCTAGTTTTGTTTTCTGTTGTCGTTCGCCAAACAGTCCGTTATACATTGTTCAAGAGCTTAGATAATCTTTTCAGGTTGATAAAAACTTGTTCAAAAAGTTTGGCTTTTATATTATGTTATAGGAGCTCGAAATATCTTCTAAACTTTGTTAATTTTTACAGCTGATAAAACTCAACAGCAGACAAATTGACTTTATTTTTTAGATTGATGACTCCAATATGAAAGTGGGAGGGTGAATTATGAGTGACGCAAAACTGAGTTGACCAGTGTTGATAAAAATTTGTTAATTAGCTCGGAAAGTCAATTGAGTTGAGTTCATGCTAAGTAAAGAGAAATTATACAAATTCGCGACAACCCCAGAAAAACACTAAGCGCATCCTGAAAATTGAAGGAAAGTTTCTTTGATCAGAAAATAAAATTGGATCTCACAAATAAGCGCTCGCCAAAAAGTTTTTTCGACAATTTTTCTTATGAATCAATCAATGCCGGAAAACGTCTTCAACATTTTTTTTTTCAACAAGTCAGAAAAGTTCTTTGTTTAATTTTAAACGATGTCCTTTTTCAAACATTCAGAAACTTGCCAACTTTTATTGAATTGAGTCAAAAGAAAAAAGACTTTTTTGATGTGAGCTTATTTTTAAGATCCTATTTATTTATTTATCAGACTAAGCTTTTGAACCCCAAAATTAAAAAAAAAAAGTAGTCAGTGTTGTAAAATGCGTCTCAAGGAGGGGCTCAATTATGTAACAATTATGTAATAATAACCTGTGGGAGAGTATCTCTGCACGGCACGAGGGTGAATTTCTCTCGCGAACTCGGCCAGAATGCGCTCGGGTGACTCGTACATCTTCGGCTCCACGAACTTCTGACCGACCGGCAACTTGATGGCTGAAAAAAGAAAACAATTAATTAAAAACTGTTTTTTTCCTGGCTTTCCAACGAAAGTGACTGACAACTTTTTTATCTCATTATCAAAATATGTTGCTCTTAAATTTTAATATCAGCAAAAAACACACAAGAAATTAAGAGGAAACGTTTATGACACAATATAAATTATGACTCATAATTTTTACACACCATTTAAGTGAATCATTATTTTAATTTTTCTCAGCAATATTTCATTTGGAGTACAATTTCTTTAATAGAGTCAAGCTTTGAAAAAAAAACACAAGCATGAATTGATTAACATCTGAATATGTAATGACTTTAAATTCTAAACTAATTGTCTGTTTCCAACTTGTAAAAAAAAGTTTCAACAGTGATAAAAATTGACACTTTGATGTGACTATGTCTTAGGGTGCTGAAATTAGGTCGTTAATTTTCAGGTTCCTATTCAGAGTTTTTCAAAGATATTTTGAAATTGGGGCAGTTAAAAAGAATTCTTTTTTAAGCTTCCCATCACTACATGACGCTGAAAAACAATACTTTTCAAAATAGAAATAACTTAAAGGAAGGGAATTAGTTGTGCACGTCACAAACTTGCAGAAAAACAACTAAATATTATTCACAAATTAAATAAACATGATAATAGGTCCTTACATGAACCAAAATAACAAGTCGCGGAGTGCAACAACTGTTCAAAGAATGAATAGATTTATTGAATTTATTCAAAACTAATAAATCTGTTGTTTGAGTCAAACAATGCTTGTTTACAAACAACGGTTTTTGTCACGTAAGCGCGCAGACTTCAAAAACTTCAGCAAGTTTGATTTAAAAAGACTTGTAAATTAGGTCTTCATAAAATCAGAAACTCCGGATGTGTCCCAAAGGCAAAACAACCTAGTCCCAGAGCAATTTCCGGCAATAAAAACGCATGAGATCATTAAAAGTTGTTTTGCAGCCCGTTTATAAGGCAAAACGTCGATCGGAGGCTTGGATATGTTAGTAACCGCCTCCATTTTGAGCAAAAAAACAATAATTTTTTTTTTTACAAAAGTCCATCTTCATAATAAAAAGATTTTTTTTATGACAATTTAGAAAAAATTTAAACACTCGGAAGACTTTTGCTGGATATGCAATTAATTTTTTTAATGATGTTATGCTAATTACACTAAATTTTCCTCTTCGATATTTAAATGTGTTTTGACATTATTTACAATACTTTACTAAATAATTTAGTGCAAATCTTTTCTCTCTTAAACTTGATAAAATATCTTTGTCAGGTAGTGATATAAACTTAAGAGGTTTGAGTCCCACTCTGAAAAATAATTTAAAAAAAACTTGCAGCTGATATTACTAAATTTTATCGAAACTGAATACTAGCTGAACAGCAAGTTTGTTGAGCCCCACTCTCCCCCCCCCCCCCCCCCTCCATATCCCGAGTTCATACCGCTGTTATCATTCCTGGACGGTTATTACAGCTTCAAAGCTGTATCGTAAATATTCAACTAATGAAAAAAAGTACTAACTTCCATCTTGGCTGTAGAACATGTACTCGTGACATGCGATATCGGCAGGACTATTCATCCCCAGCCCCACCCCTATTCCCATGCCTCCTAGCCACGACTCCTGGTGATTCGGGGAGAGGGAGTAGTTCTGCGGAGTCCTCATGTGGTGTGTGAGGGACCCGTTGCCGGCAGCAGCAGCGGCGGCCGCATAGCCCCACTTGTGTTTTCGGCGGTAGAAGCAAAGTGCGATTGTGAATATTGAGATGAAAAGAAGGAACACTAACACGAGCAAGATCACAGTTAGAACTATTCGCTGCATCCTATGCTGCATTTCTAGACTGCCGACACCTAATACAAAACAAGATCCCTTAAAAAAGAAAAATAAGACTGCTCGTATCAAGCCAAAACTCTGAATGTTCCGACTGCCCTTAATTGTCTATGAAAAAAATTTTAAAATTATCAATTGAGATATTGGAAACTGATAAAAATTTCAAAATTTCAATATTTTAAAAATTTTTCAGATTTTTTTCAGACAAAAAAAACCACACCGAGCACAAATATTCCGTCACTTTCTTCGGACTACAAAAATAATTGAACTCCTAATTGAAAATTAAATAGAAATCTTGAAGTACCTGAATCATAAACTGAACGTTATTTAAACCTCGTGATTCGTGCTTCAAGGAGAGGCAACATTTTCCGAAAAAAATTGCACGTACAAGTTCTTAAGCAGAGGTACAAAAAATGATTCGCTGTAAAGGCTGGGAACGCTGGAAAGTTGGTTCTTTCTCTCGTGGAAAAATGATTATTGACTTAACCTTATTCAAAAAAGTCAAATGCAAAACTGAGTCTCTTAGATTCACCAAACCATGTTTACTTTTTGTCATGATGTTATTTAGAACATTTTCAAGTAGTTCACATTTTTCGTTTGTTTCTTTTATCTCAACAGGTTGATTGCCTTTTTCCGGTTTCACTTGAGCGTTACATAATTTATAGACTGAAAAGTTCGGACAATCAATTTTATCACGCTCTTGACTGAAACAGCGTCTCTCCATGTCTTTTTCTTGTTAATGATATTCCGCCTCTTTCATCTTTTATTGAGGTTGATTGCTCGTTCTTTCTGGTTGGATGACTATACATCAAAACTGACACCTTTCTGTCACGTATTTTTTTGCTTTTTTTCTATGCTACATCGTAAAAACTGACAATGACCAGAAATCATTAAGGGGGTGGGTACATAATTTACAATAATTAGCAACAGAAAATTCTTTTTTTGCAAGCTCACTGATTTGCAGCAGACTTTGCATTTTTTTTTTGTAAATTGTAGCCTGAATTTTCCCTCAAGCGGTTGATTTTTAGGTTCTTATACGAGGCAAGTCAGGTCATTTAAACATTTAAAAGTTTCCTTTTAAACTATCAAACACTTTGTCACCTGCCAAGATCAACTTGACGCGTCTTCAGAGGTTCAACTATTTTATCTAAACGGTATCTAACCATTTAACTGGGAACGTACAAGTCTTGGACCGAAGTTCAAGTTCAAGTTGAATGGGCTTTTCACTACAAATGGAGCTGGAAAAGAAGGTTGACTTTTTCCACGGGCACTTTGCTAATCAAATGTTTTCCCATTTTGGGCAAAATTTATCAATAAGAGCGCTTCTTTGTTTGGTTAAATGCCGTGCAGCACAAATAGAAAGCGCGATCAATACATTACAAAATGGATTCACGCCTTTTCCCATCTAGTATGATAAAAACTCATCAAATTCCCACCTTAAAAATTACAGTAGCCAATCCCTTTTTCAATTTCATAAATTCCTAATTTTTCATTGTTTGCCCCATAACTGCAAGGGTGTGAAAATATCTCCCCGGGCGAGCGGGGAAGTGTTAAAACAGACTCCATTCACCCATTCCGGTCTAGATCAACCAACTTCCTTTTGCTCTCCCATTAACAATTTACCCATCCATTACAAATTAGGCAGCCCTTATTTAAGGTGACAAAGGCTACTTGCCAATTATCTTTCTTGATAAAAGGTGACAAAATAGACGCTGATTCCCAGGAATTGATTGGGTTAAGTGGCTATGAGAACGGCGGGTATCTCTACAAGTGGAAGTTGGTCAAGGTGTGAACGAAAGCTTGAACAGGAAATAGGAAAAGACGGGGGGCTGAAATGTTTGCATGGAATGACTTAGTTCAGATTAATCAAACGTGACATAAAACAGTAGTTTTGGTGTCCTATTTTTGAAACATTTGTGTTTGACCATAAAAATGTTCAGCTAAAACTGTTTGAAACGTTTCCATCAAAGTCTAATAAAAATTAAGTTAGTCATCTAACCAGCTTTGCTTTCTAACCAGCATACAAAGCCAAATCGCAGAACCAACTTCAACGAATTTTGAAGAACAGAAAAAACGCAATAGGTCAGGCAATGAATGCAAAAATTGTTGTAATCTCTTTTTCATTGGTTATTTTAAACTTGACTTGAACTCTATGGCATTTATTAATTAAGTTTAGTAAGTTGAAGAGTTAAAAAAAATCAGAAGAAAATTACCCGATACTTTTATGATGACCGGTTCACAGTATGGCCCATTGAGACCAGCTGTGCTCACATCCAGCAGATATTCTGCATTGTCTAATCCTGAAACAGAAGCCATTCATGATTTCACCACTTCGCTTTTGTTAATTTTACGACCCAAATTTGTCTGATCGATTGTTAGTTTGCAGTTTGAAAAGCTAATAGAGAATGCACGAGGAAGACTCAAAAGCAAATATACCAAATTTTAAATCAGGCACACACAAGACACTATAAAACAAATCAGAAATCTTCAATCTTTTCAGCAAATTTACATTCAATCAAATTAGTCTCAGTATTGCGAATTTCATTCAAGATATTTGATAACTTTTAGAATAAACTTGAAGAAAATGGAGAACAATTTAGAACAATATCTTAGAGTCTGTTACGGAAACATTCATTGAAACGTACCAGCGAAGTCGACATCCGTTCGATTTCCAGGTACCTTCTGATTACGTAATGTGGGCTCGACTTGACTGAACACATTCGGCTCCTGCAGTCGTTTGCGAACTCTTACGTAATAGTAGGACACGTTAACGAGTCGCTCTTGTTTGTTCAGAGGCGGCAGCCACTCCACACGAATGATTCCGTTCACTGATTTTGCACTCAACTTGCGCACGAACACTAAAAAAATATCACAATAAAATGACGTGAACGCAAAAATTACAAAAAAAATGAGGCATTTCAATATCAGATCAAAAAGAAAGAAGATTATTTGGTTCGCAAACCAGTAAAAAAACTTGATCACATTCTTAAATCAAAATTCTTAAATCAAATTACTACTCCATAAAAATTTCAAATTTAAAACTGCGACCAGATTTCAAAAAATTTTCAGATCTTTTGAGCTTGTTATCTTGAAATTTGAATTCACTTCCCGTGCATGTCAAAATTGGAAGGGTCGGTCAATCAGTCAGTCAAATTGAATCAATTTTGAAAAACCCGCACTGTCCTCCTGAATGACCATGCCTTTTACAGACAGACAATTAAAGCGGGAAAGATAACATTTCCTATCAATTCTACCCATTTTCCGGTTGCTCTGAGCAAAATTAGCACAGGGTAATTTGCATCGCTCGATTTTCTATTAGTTCTGAAGATACAACTATGTCACTGGTTTCCTTTTTCAATTTAGAGGCTCTTTTGCTTCACAACACAGCACTGATTAAATTTTATGCTCAAATTATTTTTATGATTGTTTTCCTTGAAAATTCACTACAAAATAGCGGCAAAAAATTAATTTGCAAGCAGTTTTCCCTAAAATTGGGAAATTGGGAAGAAACTTTTCCTGAAGTCGACAAAGATTGAAAAATCAATCAAGGAAACCAACAAATTTGAACCAAATTCAAACAACCAAAAAATTATAAAAGGTGACACGCGATTCACAAGGACAATTGTAAAAATTTGATTGAATAATCGCACATGAAAAGAGCATCGTTTTGTTAAGTAGTTATAAAAACAAATATCTTTACCACTTTAGGAGTGGTTTTCTGAACTGCAAAAAAAAAATAAATCATATTTATGGTGCCCATAAAAGACAATTTTTTGCCGCTTTATTTGTGACTTTTCTTCTCACTGACAAGCGCAAACGTTCAAAACAAGGTCCAAATCATACCATTGTTTCAGTTTTATTGTACTACTAATGACGATAAATTGTAAAACAAGTGGTACTTGACAAGTTTTATGAAGAAATTAGAAACAATTTAGACTGTACAAGCATTGAGGCGACAAGTTACAATCATTATTACATCTGCAAATTGAAAATGGTCTAAAAACTGCGCTGTTGTGTCCGAGCAAAATCAGATTCAACAGCCAAAAATTGATAGAAGTGACAACAGCTACATGTACGAATGCCAGAAGCAGTCTTGGTTTTTAAGAGCGGCATTGACAGGAGATAAAACCAACCAATTTAGTAAAAATTAAATTATTCGCACTTTTTAAACCCAAATATGATGTCCCTTTAAAGCACGTCGTTTCATATAAATTTTTCAAAAAATCTACTCGCAGTTAAAAAATTGTACCATCTATAAAATCTCCCCTCCCTCCCCCCCCCCCCCCCTCCCCCGTAGAATGTTATCCCCAAGCATGTATTAAATCTGAAAAATTGATGCTGTTTTGCTGGTAATTGCTTATATTAATGTTTCAATTTTTTTTTAGTAAAATGCTTAATTTTGAATGAATATAGGCTATTCTCAAAGTTAGTTCATGAAAAACCCATATTTTCTCCCCCATAATTTGATTTGGGGGGGGGATTGTACGTTTGATACAAAAAAAAAATTTATTAGAAAAAATACCTCCGTCAATCGTAAAGGCCGGCTTCTGTTTTTTTTTTTTAAAAACCCGAATTTATTTACAAAAATCTAGCCATTTTTCAGTTTTGTCATACAAAACTTTGAAACAAAGATATATTTTTTTCAAATTCAAAAATTTTTGAGAAAAACTTCGTCTTCCGATTGACAGGTATTTTTTGAATATCAAGTTTCAAAATCAGATTTTTTAAAATAAACAGAAAACAAACGAAATGCATACCTGCTGCAGGGGTTGTATAGTTGAATGTAGCAAACGATAACGCCGAGTTGAGTTCGTTGGAGACGAGTCGGGTTGAGACTCGGTTGTTGGAGTATATTCGGAAATGGTAAGTGGTGTCCGGTATCAGTCCGCGAACAGCCACAGAGCGGCTTCTGATTCCGTCTTTCATCGGTTGAAAAGAGACCCCCGCGGGACAGTTCTCACAGTGCATTGTATACCATACCTGAAAGACCGCAGTCATAGTTTTTTTATCCGAGGGGGGGGGTAAATTTTTGGTTTACACCTTCGATAAAGAGTTGCTAAAAAGGCCTTTTTTCCGCTCGCGTTTAAAATTATCTGGGTATAGCATACAATTTTTGTCCTAAAAAAACTGTATACAGGGGTTCAGGGGTTTCAACAATTATCATGATCCTCTTGATTTTTGTTAATTTTGTTAACAAGATGCTGTATAGTGTTAAAACTTCGGTCAAAATGTTCAGAATTTTATACCTCGACGGGGTGTGATGCGCCGACCTCTCCGTCCGACCCGTCATTCAGGGGGGCGTCCCACGTGAGTCGAACTGAGTTCGGGTGATTACTATCACGTGCACTGTAGTCAACTCTCACATTCCTACAACATAATTTCAAATTTTCGGATCTACTTAACAATTACCCACCCTTTCAAGAAGGGGGGGGGGGGGGGGGGTGGTAATTGTTAAGTAGATTAAATTAGCCGAATTTTCGACCAATCAGAATGCAGCAAAATTCCGATTTGACATGGAACGCTCTAGTGCTAACTTTACTGCTTTTATTCGTTAAGGTGGCAATTCTTAATTAGATAATAAAGGGAGGGTGGGGGTTGGCCGGTAATTATTAAGTATTAACCAAACTTTCTGACCTAAAACTAATGCTTTATAACCAAAATTGCAATCAAGCAAAAACGACAAGCCAAACTATTCATAAGAACTTTCCATGTTGAAACAAGTACATTTTATTTAGCAAAAAAATCTGGTGTAAATTTCATGTTTTCAAGTTATGCAACATTCTGTGTAATGTTTGAACATTCTATGCTAGATTAACTGTGACTCGTCCGTCTATGATCAAACTTCAGTCATTTTCAGATCAATTAAAGTGACAATTGTCTTTTTGGGTTAAAAATGACCGCAGAAAGGTTTTTAAGCAGGCTAAAAACACTGTCATTTGTATGTCAACCGCTTGAGTCTGACGCCTGATAATAGGCCAGCACATTTACTTCAACAACTTTCAATTCCTGTTTCTCATATATAATGTGTCAGCCTTTCCGATTTACGACCGAGCTATAAGTTATCCCCTTTGTAAGCAAAAACGGTAACAAAAATTAGTCAGAAAAGATATTTTATATTGCTTTAAATACTTCTGATGGCTTTCCCTTCATTTCAAATAAGTTCAAAAATGCAAAAAAAATAATTTAATTTGAATTCAAGCTGCTTTTTGTCTGAAATAATATACGAAGATATTTTTAAATTTCTTTGTTTCAAGGTATTTTATGTATTCAACAGCTCCATTTTTAGCATAATGTTTATTCATTTGGGCTGGATACCTATTTGAGCATAATTTATTAGTTGACTTAGGAAAAACTTTACTGGCCTTAAATAAATAGAAACGTATTTATTTTTCCAGATCAGCAAAATGGAGACGACGAATAATTCATGAAGCGTCGGGGCAAAATTTCCCCTTGAGTTGGTAAAATATGGAACCATTTAGAACGCCAAGAGAGAAAAAATATGCAAACAATAATTTTGCAAATTGAAATGACACCGCAGTCGAAATTAGCCCAATTGGGCGAAATGGAAATGATCAGATCTAATCTACCTTCGGGTTGTTACTGCCAATTTACCCAATTTACATATTTTTCACTTTTATCAAGTGCTTAACCTGTTTTAGCAAAAACATCTGCAACCATTTCAAACATTCAAGTGCTCAGGGCTTGTATACTGTACAAGCTTTTGCCTTGCCTTTCAAGCATTACAAAAGTCACTAAAATCAGCCGGAATTTCAATTTTAGAATTTAGATTTAAGCTTCAAGTCAAGAGTGCAACTGAAGTCTGAAGTTTTGAGAAGGAGATTATTTTGAGCTCCTGAGGTGACAAGGTGTTAAACGAAGACTAGATTATGAGCTCTAAACTACCAGGCGGTGATTCCTGGGTAAACATGGAGGGGCTGTGATACAGCATAAAACAATCACAAGTAATCTGCGTTTATGTCTGTCACAAACGAAGATCTGTTTGAACTAAATTTTTCTACATTTTAAAATTTTGGTTTATTTTTCCACTAAAACTGGTTCAATTTTGACCAAAAAAAAACGTTTCAATTTTTCCAACAAAATTTTTATTTTTTTCCAAAAAAAATTATCTTAGCATAAATCTTTAAGTCTTTCTATCTGAAACTCGAAAATATATATATTTTTTTCTGTAGCTATATATGTCTGAAGATTTTTCTGTGCCAATAATGATTGAATATATAAAACACCTTTTTGTGACCTTAACCTTTCAGGAGCCAAAAAATTGCAGCGCAAAAAAGAACTAATGACCTAATAAATCAAGCAAACTAAAATTTACGATTTTTCTTCGCATGGACAGCCAAATTGGTGTGACAATTTACTGAAAAATTTACGTCTTGTCAACTGAAAATCTGAAAATGAGTTTACAAAACGCAGCACGTTTGACGGTTGCAGATGAGATAATTTGTTTCGACTGCAACATCGTCGCAAACCATGCGATTAAGCGGCACGGTGCATTTCAGCTTCAATTAATGATTAAGAAATGAAAAAAAAAACATAATTTTATGAATGCTTAAAGCTGATAAAACCTGACAACTTAACAAACAAAACGTTCCGTTCGCTGTTCAATTTATGATCCGAGTCCATTGTATTACACGACGAGGGAAAACTGACCTGTTCGAAGCCCGAAATCGACCTCTTAGAAAAACGAAATTTTCTTGTTTTTCATATTTCTCATTTTTTGTAATTTTAAAATTTAATGTAGTTTCTAATATCCGCTCCATTTTTAGATTTTAAAATTATTTACAAATTGTGAATCACGTGACTTTGAACTGACAAAAAGTCATTTAAAAGAAATATTAGTTGTTTGCCTAAAATCGGACCCGGATTGAAAAAATAAACAAACGCTACAGAAGTCGCGCAGACTATTACACGAACACGCGAAATCCAGATATTTTGAGTGACATAAAATTCAATTTAGCTACTACTTTTCAAATAAAAAGTCGAGAACTAGTTTTTTAAAATAAATAACGCAGGCCATATGTTGTGTTTGTTGATATCACTGTATCAGAAAAAAAACTGGTCTAGAAAACTTACAAGTTCAACAATGTTTGTAAATACAACCCCTGAAATTAAAAAAAAATAATAAGAAAAACAAACCAATGTAATAATTTTTCTGACCAAAATGAAATGTATATGCTTTTTTTTCACTCACAGCCTGTATTTTTCATAATCTCCGGGTTTTATTCAGAAGAAAAAAATTGAACGCCAAGATATTAGCCGAAAAAATGTAGATTTCACTCAAGTGTTAAGTCACAGATTAAAACTGTCTGAGTGCTTGAAGATACTGTCAGCATGGTCAAACAAATTAACATTTTTGTGCTCAATTTTAATCTTCTAAATCAAAACAAAACACTTCACGTCAACTTTGAACACGAGTCTTTTCGTCGGCCAAGACTCCAAAATTCACATCAATACAGCAACAAGAACTTCAGATATTACATTTAGCTTGGGCGTGGCTTCTATAATATCTTGTTAGCTGTAATACATAACTGTATTCAAAATTACAGTAGACGAGTTTTCTAATAGTCGCAAAACAGTCGTAATACCGCCGCAAAACAGAGCGGCGGTATTACACGTTAAATGCAGAAAAAAATCAAAAAAAACTAATGATGAGTTCAGAGGTTGAATTATGAAGCAGCTATGTAATAAACTTAGCAGTGATTTCAGATCGTTAAAAATAAAATCTCCTTTTTGGTTTTCTAGTTCCCTGAGTTGGACAGGATCCCAGAGGCAGAATAGCCATTTCGCAAACTGAATCAATTTTGATTCCAGACGCGGATTTAATGGGGGGACGCCTTCCTTCGTGGATTGGAACCACTCACCAACCAAAGGATCCCCCTTTGGTATTATTTAATGACATCCATTTTCGGCTGACCAACCATAAAATTTTCTGAAGGTGATATACTAAATTTGAGGGCAAGCGCGAGCCAAAAAAACGCATTTTTTTAATAAAAATTTTCCAAAAAGTGCAAAATAGAGTTTTCATAGTGTTCTGGAGCGCTCGAAAAATCAATTTGTTCGACCTGAAAAAAAGTCAACAAAATTTTTGAAATTTTTTTTGAAAATCCCCCTCGAGAAAATCCTATATCCGCTTTTTGTTTGATTCTATGATTTTTTAGGAGAAAACATATTCCAGCTAGCTTGGCCAAATATTTCAAGACACTTGACCAAGTAAGTTACTATTTTTGGATTATCAAAACTTCCCACCACTTTCATTAGTAAAAAATCCGGCTCAGCTGCGAACGTCAATTTCGCTTTCAAAACTGCTGTAGTGAAATTTCAACTTTCCCATTCATTCCAGCAAAATAAACCGATTCATTTTCCTCAAAAATAGCTCTTAAATTTATAATTACAAACAGGTCTTACAGCTGTCAGAGTCAAATCCAAGGATGGCATTAATTTTAATTTGGACTTAAGTCAACATGCAAATCGAACTCGTTAATTAACACCCTACCTCACAGACTATTTAGCCAAGTCGGAGGAGATAAAAATCCCATCAAAATCTATCTCCACTCTAAGTCTCCTTTCAAGGGCCGATTAGCCCGATTATGTTGAATGGAATGTTATTGCTTGTGTGACAAGTTGTGTCTAAATTCACTTGTGCGAAGTCGTTTTGTGGATATTTCAGAAATTTTGGCAAAAGATTAACAAAACCTTGGAGGTATAAAACCCTATTTTGAGCCATTTCAACAGTAAGTTTAAAACCAACAATTAAACTTTTGTTCAGAATTTTATATATTTTTTAATGTTTCCGAAACCGACAAAAACCGAAAAGCTCAAAGAAAAAGCAGGAAAAGGCTGTAACAAAAGTGGGGAACAATTCCAACAAAAAGCAGCTTTGATTTTTCTGCCAAAAAAAAAACAGAGAAAACTCAGCATTCTTTCCCTAACTTCGACAGAATTCAATTTTCACAATTTTAAAAGCCCTATTCAGGAATTTTTGAGCTGATTAAATTGAGGTTCAAAGATTAGCTCAGTCAAAGTCGACAAGCGATTTGTTATTATTTTCTACTTTTAATAACTTTCAAGCCTTTATTTTCTTTTCATTTCGACAAGCGCAGCAGCGGAACAAATTAGCGACAATGGTGCTTTAAAATGTCAGTTAGCAAAGGAAAACCAATTGATTCCATGTAAGAAAACACAAATAAACAAAGGCGAAGTAGAAAAACAATGGAGCAAAATAGCTCAAGAGACTGTTCGGCTTCGCCCCACTGCGAGTAATAATATTTTTACGAAGAGTCACTTCAGCTTCTTAATTGAAAACTAATGCATTTGAGAGCTTGTTTCATTAACTCTAAGTGCCCAAGAATTTAAAAAGCTCCACCAACTGAAAAATGCATTTATTTCGAATAAGTCGCGAAATGATTGACTGACTTAAATTTGTTATCTTGCTGCTCGAATTGATTAGCTCTATTTCAGAAAAGGAAAAAGCTTTTAAACTCATACATGTTAACATTTTTAAACCTCGATTGAGAAAAGAAGCTCAACTCTCTTCTTTGCTCACTAAAATTCCAGAACTAGCAAATCTTTTGCAACAGAAAGATGGGCTGTTTTGACACAAATATGATATTGTTGCCATGATAAGAAATTTGAATTTGCTTTTTCTCACATTAAACTCTGATTTGACATTCTCAATGGGAGACTTTTTTGTGATTAATTGGTGCTTTACATGGCATCATTTTTGCAATACTTTCTGTCATAATTCCCACAGGTATCAAAAAAGGAATCCAAATTATGAACAAATTTTGGTTTAAGTACTTAAATGAGAGCCTACAAAATGAGACGTGATGCAAACTGCGTACCAATCAATAACATTTTGTAAAATATTCAGGTATTCAGCGTTCCAGGTAGTATTCTTATCTGACCGTGGACGTTAAAGGCTCTTTAATGTTATTTAATCTTAAAGTGATTCAAGGCTAACACGCAGTGCCAACAACAAACATGTTAAAACGGACATCTTGCAAGTTCGGATGACATGTTTCAATGTTGTATCAAGCATGGTTTTAAACGTTCTGTCTTTTCAGCCGAATATGTTCTCCATAATTCATGTTTATCATTGACCACTGTTTTTTTAATCTTATTGAAATCATAGAAGAGGGGTCGCATATATAGCTCACCTGGGCTCGCTTGGGTTGCGGTAGCACTGCGAGTATGGGTCATTGGGGGTGAATCGGAACCGACCCGGGTCACACTGACAAATGGCAGCCCCTCCCCTTCTGGAGGTGGAGAACTTAGGACACTTCTGACACTGCCCATCACCCGGTTGCTCTTTGAACATTCCCGGAAGACACTCTGAAAGAAAAGAATAAATAATCACATAATCATTGAAGCTTCGTAAAATCAGATCATATTTCACGGTTCAGATCAATTTTTTTTTTTCATTTATCACAAGAGCTCGAACTTTTTCTCGACACTTATTTTTTTAACTATATTTTTTGGAATAGAAACCCTGGCTGAACAAAATCTGAAATAATACCATACTCGATGAACTTATGAGATGGCTTTGAAACAACATATAAGCTTGAAGAAAAAACACCCACGCTCATATTCACACTATTTGCAAAAAAAACACTGAAAAATTGTAACACGGAAGCATAAATCTATGTTTACATGAAAATTGAAGATTCCACGAAAAAAATGTACAGAAAAGCTGGTATGAAAACCACAAAACTGTTTGCAATTGAAATGGCGGAAGTTTTTTGAAAAATATGTCTTTGTATTTGCATCTGCTTCCAAATTTTCAATGAATGGCAAACAGCATATTTTATGCCATAATAAAAGAACGAATCAATATAAATGCTTCAGATATTTAGTTCAAAACGAAACCGGAAATCTTGGATGTAGTTTGAACTACAGAGAATGAAAACTGAAAACCAGTTAAATTGATATTTTTATATTTATCCTATAAATTTTTGGTCAATTTCAAAAAGTTTCCAAAAGAGCCCGTATTTAGTTTCCAAAAGAGCTTCAGATATTTAGTTCAAAACGAAGCCGGAAATCTTGGATGTAGTTTGAACTACAGAGAATGAAAACTGAAAACCAGTTAACTTGATATTTTTATATTTATCCTATAAATTTTTGGTCAATTTCAAAAAGTTTCCAAAACATCAAATTCGTTACAAGTTACAAAAGCATAGGTGCTTAGAACGTTGAATAAGTCCTCAAAACGAAGCCGGAAATCTTGGATGTAGTTTGAACTACAGAGAATGAAAACTGAAAACCAGTTAACTTGATATTTTTATATTTATCCTATAAATTTTTGGTCAATTTCAAAAAGTTTCCAAAACATCAAATTCGTTACAAGTTACAAAAGCATAGGTGCTTAGAACGTTGAATAAGTCCTCAATGGGAAGTAAATTTGTTTTACTAGGTACCGCAACGGGCGGTGGTGGTGAGTGGGGGGGGGGGGGGGCTTATTGTTAACGTACAAGATGCGGCAAAAAAATTGCTTCACAACATTAAATTTTTTTTGAATGCTTTCCCACTTGAAGCTTCTTTCAGGGGTGACTATTTTTCCTTATCAAAAGAACTTCAGGTTTGTTCTGTCACCAAAGGCTACTGGACGCAAATCCGGCAATAAGAACCTCGAAATCCAACCGCTACGCGAAAACCAAATTGGCAAAACAGTTTAGACTAAAATCTGGCTCCACGTGTGTTTAGATTGATCTCAAAATTCTCACGCTCGGATTAGTTCGAATCTCAACGGGCCCCTTTCGGCGCTATTCGCTTAAATATCGGGCGCTACTTTCTTGACAGAAGCCCCAAATGAGCGAAACTTCTCAACCAATCAATCTCCTTTACCGTCCAAAACTGACGGATTTTCTCGATTATTTCTTTCAAATTTCCAAATACTTTCATATTTCCAAATTCTTCGAATTTTCCAAATAGTTTCAAATTTTAAATACTGAATTATGCGAATTGCCTAAGATAATTTTTGGGTATTTTCGGTTCTGCTTCGGGCATGAGGCTTTAGCCCAAACGGCAGGTCGCTAAAATATCGCTGCGGTACCAATTTTCACAGTCGCGCTTGTAATTTATCCCAACTTGTCTGTCAAAATTACCAGGCACGTTGAGATATTTGTAACAAAAACACGCAAAGTCGCGGATTTTTGTCAAATCTTGATCGACTAATTGTATAATTTGAAGCTATATAATACTTGAAATTATATCTTCATTGAGTCAAATCAGTAGCGCTTTTAGCATAAAGCTTAGAATCTTCTGAAAATGAATTTGGTCTGGGTAATTTTCCGGAGTCATTTTCTTAATGCACTTGAGCGATCATGCGTTGTAAAGATTGATTATTTGGTGTAATGCTTTTTATAAATTTAGGGTAGATATGGCGCAATGGCGGCGGGGAAAAGGCGGGAGTGGGGGGGGGGGATTGGGTTGGCTAAGGCGCACCCGATATAGGTAGAAACAAGTAGATCAATTTGAGCTAATTCAATTTCACCGACAACCAACTTAGTTTGATTGCCAATCTAATCCAATTCCCAAATTGAAGGCATTGATCAAATGTGGAGTACGTTTTTAAACTTGGTCACATTTGCCTTTTTATGCCATTATTGAACATTACCAGTTCAAAGAAACACGCAAGGGCCCATTATTCGGATTATTCCATATTTCTATCGTAACGGCTCCTGAAAACGATAATCAAAAAGCCGAAAAAATATTGAAAAACAAATATCTAATTTAAATTTCACCAAACATTAAAATTTTATCACTTTCTTCGAAAGTCGGAAAGAAAAGAGCATAAATGCTTTACAAACTATTCAGAATCAAGGAAAAAAAAGAGCCGAAAAAAAAAGAAATATAAGTATAATATTTTCGGTCGTCAGGTTATGCGGTTTAAAAGGGCTCTATGCGAATTGCTACTTTTATTCAACTCCCAGAGGTCAAATGATTCCGGATGAACTATGAGGGCGTTTGGTTTGTTTTGACCAGACAGGGCAGTTATAACTAGTCAGTCATGTTTTAATTTGCAGAACCCACGTGACCATAAAAATTTTCTAGATTAAATGCAGACTTTAAAGACAAAAGAAGTGTATCATTTTGTACTCTGAAGTTAAGCGAGATAACAAGATGCTCATATAAAAATGAGAATGTCTTTTCAACTAACCCCAACCCCCCCCCCCCCCCCCCTCCCCCCACCCCGTTATCGCACATAGTTCAGATTACAGATTAACCAGCCCTATAAAGCACTAAATCGACGGTTAAACACATATGTAGCTGATTTTTGTAGCTTGCAACGAGCTCTTTTTATTTTGCAATTTGGAGGAAATAGTTATACAGATCCAAAAACGGTATTAACATGGTTTCAATGGGCTTGGAGTAGTTAACAGGACCCTTTAGATTAATAAATACTAAATAAATCAGAAATTTGACATCTTAAACCAACTAAAAACATCGATTCTTCAGCTTAGCCTCAACAGGAAAAAAGTCTCTAAGGATAGTTAGCTTGTCAATTTTTAGGAAAAACAAGAACAAACAATTAGGGAAACAAAATATTCCTGTCTAATTAACGAGTTGAAATACCTGCATATTTTAGCCGTCGGGTTTATTTTCAGTCAAAGTAGTTGGATTTGATTAACTAAGACGGTAGACATGGCGTAATCAATCGCAAGGCATTTCATGGACAGACAGTGGGTCTATGTTACTGTTTTTAAACTCTTTATTCGCAGAAAAAATCCAATAATTAAGCCCACACTTTAAAGATCTCTAAGTTTAAAAAGCAATAAAACGTCGTTCCGTGAAAAATAAAACATAATTAAGGCGCGAAAAGTGTTTTGAAAACCCACAACGTGGGAAAAATTTTGAAGAGGAGCTTTCTGCAAAATAATTAAGTCGATTTTATGAAAATAAATTCGACTAATGACAGCAAAAAAAAACAAAAACGGAAAAACTTTCCGAAAACAATCAAAAACAAAAAATCACATTTGAAGAATAACTGATTATTCGGGCTAAGCGCTAGAAACGAAAGTATTTATTCAAACTAAAAATTATTATTCACTTCAATTTTTGAAATAACTAATATAAATATAAAAAAAAGGAGATTGGCATAGGATAAGTAACGGGATCAAAAAGACCTTTATGATGAAGCCGTTGGTTTTCTTCAAAGAGACTCCATTTTATTCATATATATATATTTTAAAAAAAAAACAATATTGATAACAAGGAAGGGGAATGTTGATCTTGTTAAGCCATTAATTCGCCTATGGTACCTTGTAATAAATTACCGACTATTAAAAAAAGAATTGATCAAATAAGCATATACGATTTTTTTACTTGGTAACGAATCTTCTCCCCCTTTGCAAAAGGGGGGGGGGGGCAAATAGTCAACAAGATCCCAAGGAAGCGAATTAAGTACAATACCTGTGCATTGGTTAGAGGAGCTGCCAAGACCAGGGGCGTATCCAGGGTTGCAATGGCACGAAGAAGATTTGTATTCATCGTCCCATTTCCCACTAGGCGTGCACATTTTTCTAGGTGGTCCACTAGACGCTGCGTTGGCCACACAAAGCCCTTCCACCTTTTCAAATCCCATTCCGGGGGCTACACTTTTGGGGTAAGAGGCAAACTTTTCATCAACCCTTGGGCAAACTTTGAGGTACACTTCGACTTGATTGACAGTTATACAAGCGCCGTTGTCTTCGAAAACCAGAGCGAATCCGGACTTGCTTCGATCTTCTGGCGGTCGGAAAAAATTGGTCGTAGTGATTGTTCGTTGTTCCTGTCCGTTCGTAAGAGGTTCGCCTTCGTCTCGCAACATGTCTGTTAAGAGTTCGTTTTCGACAGCCGAGCCGACCGGCAATGATGAGATTTCGTTTTGAGACGAGACTTCTATCAAGCCGAGTTTGACGTTTTCTGAGCAGGGAGAGATCGCGGTGTCGTCACACGACCGAATTGAGTACCTGAAAAACTTTTAAACTGATACACTGTTTTAAATACGACTTGCAGAAATCGTTTTGGACTGGCAATACATCAAAAATTATAGGTAATCGAAATTTCAGTATAAACGTTTTATATTTGACTTTGACGATCATCCAACCACAAACATTTTATCAAATCAAATAAAAATTAATCTTAAGTGGTCTATAAAAAATTAAAAGGGGAATTTCTATTTCATGATTTAAAAAATCTTTAAAAATTTCTAATCTGCCTTCCTTCAGTTGACATGTTTTTAGCAAAAACTAATTCGAATCGATCTGCAAGTTTTGATTAACATTTTCATAGAAAGTTAATAAGTGTGAAATTATGCATCACTTTTGCTCAAAAAATGGGCGTTCTTTCATTTTTCGTAGGCGATGTTGCAATTTGCGACTTTTTTGTTCACCCAAATGGAGCTTAACTGTTTTTTTTTATGAGAATAACCAGGTTTTAAGATGGAGTTACAACTAACGTGATATCATAGTATAATATTTCAGCTTCATCCTTCATTTGGAAGGGAATGAAAGGCGTGATCAGGTAATTTTTCACTCCAACAATTCCAACATCGCAGCTCTTGTATCTGATTTCGCCCACAGAAACTCTTCCCCATTGGTCAGGGACCCACTGAAATTAAAAGCCCAAATTAGCTCAAGAGCAAGAAAAGAGCAAAAAGACATTGTTTTAAAATAGTTAATGAGGTGTTATGAGTACTTTTACAGGTATCAATTTACAGCATCTGGAAACAATTAGATTCATTGCCAAAAACAGCTTGCAAAATTAAGATTCATTGCTTAAGTACGTAAGAAAATGCACACCAAGAAATCAAAATACGCAACAAGAAGGTCTTACAAAATCTATTTTATCCAGAATTTAGATTATGATGTTCAACTTAGAAAAATAAAATTAACTATAGTTAGTCTGATTACCAAACAAGGCCGTAGACTTCAAAAAAATCAAAAACAGACACATTTTATCTAATTTTTGTCAAAAAAAAAATAATGCTAAAATTCAGCTTTGGAGGTATAAAAATCTAAAATCTATAGGAAACAATAAGAAGTATATGACAAGACAATGGCCACAAGGCTGTTTTTGACATGTATTCACGTCGGGGTTAGTCTTCTGTGGGACAAAGTAGAAGAAGCACATCAATTAAATTCTGACACGGGATACTAGCGGCCGAAATGAGGCGCATTGTTGCTCCTTTATTTGCATGCCACTGTTACCCTCTCTCGGGACAATTAGTCCTCCGCCCCTCCCCCCCCCCTCCCTTACCCCGTTTGCGGAATGACCAACAAATGCACAAAAGAGTAAAGTCAAATGCGAATATTTTGCAAACTCGCTACCACTTTCAAATCAAAGACAATTGAACCTTAACTTTTTGCAGCAAAAACTATTCTTTTAATCATATTTTAAATTTATTTCGCTCTGCGATGTGACTGATTTTCTAATTGGGACGGATTTCAAATTAAACCAAGAAAGTCACTAAACCTGATGTCAGTAAAAACAAAAGAATTTAAATAATTAAATAGATGGAATCTCAATTCTGACATAGATTGATCCTTGATTTCTTTCCATTTTAGGAAGAAGATTGTCTAATTTAAATTTGAGATACTTCCAATTTTAGTTTTTACAAATGAAGATGGTTATCTTTATTGAAAGCTAGACTGGAAAGAATCATTTAGGTGGTTTGGATTTATAAAAAAAATAGACTAGAAAGAATAATAAGGGTCACAGAGGTCAAATCGGACGGGTGACTTACCCCCTGCTTACTCCTGCCAACTTCTGACCTGATGGTCCAGATCTTCTCAGAACTCTGCGATGACTCAAACAGCACTTCTAAAACACGTGATCAAAAAAACACTCATGCTTTTTTTCTCTTTCACGTTAGAATAGTGAGATGATGTTTCATTTTGAACATGTTTTTAATGAATTGTGAACAGGTTCTAGTTCACTGAATTTTTAACATATTCATGAACAATTTTTATTTTTATTTCTATTGCCAAAGCGGTCATTTCCCATTTTTTATTTGGCCGTTATATTGTTTTCTGGGGACAAGAGAAAGCTGTTCAACTAGTTATAGTATCCAATTCCAATTAAAAATCGTTCATGTCTTAACGTGCTCATGATCATTTGACGCCCGGGTAATTTCACATCAAAGCAAAGATTTTCCCAATTGAGGGCTTTTATCGCGGAGAGATTTTTTAAAACAGTTCTTCACAATTGCACTTGACACCGACTGAAAAAACTAACACATGTAATTGAAATCGAAACTACACCCAAAATCAATTATTCACCCTCGAACTTTTTACCCAAATACAATGCTTATAACATCTTCAGTACTTTGAAAAGAACAAGGCTAAGTCACCAACGTCGCTTCCCTTTTAACAACCCAGGTTACTTTAATGTGGATTTAAAGCTAAAGTCGTTGGATTTAAGTCTCTCATACTGGGAGATACAAAAGACAAGTGAACATTAAGGAAATTCAATATTCGGCTCATTTATTTAAAAGACTTTTCCTCCATCCAACAAAAGAGGATGTTACATTATTCAGATCATTTCCACTCGCGGTGTATGTACATTTTCAGGACCTTATTCTTAAGCAAGGATCATTGGATGCTAAGAAGGCTTTTACAGGAGATTTAATAAGAAAAGAGCCCACCCTTTTAACAAAATGGACCCAAATACAGAAACATGAGATTTCGAGTAATGATAACTCTGTGAAAAGACAAAGCGTATTTCAGATAACTAGATTCGTTAAGTAGATGTACATAAAAATGAGTTTTCCATTCGAATGCAGGGATTAAAATTTGAATAATTCGGTCCATAGTGCTAATCTCCTTACATTTTCAATTTCTTGATTTTCTAGGCTCAGGGGCGAGTAAAAATCCGTCCAATTCCACTTCAATGGACACTTTTCATTTAGAATTTCGTTGCTTGATAACAAAAATCATTAAAAGACTTGATTTTAGAAAATTTGTCTTATTTTAAAGCCAAACTAAAAAAGTCTATTCTGATGTCGTGTGCCTATTTTTAGCCATATTTTGCCATTCATTTTTTAATTAAACAAACATAAAAAACATGCAAAAATTTTTCACAAAACGGATTAAAGAACATGCTAAAATTCTTCAAAAAAAAACAGTTAAAAAACATGCGAAAATTGTGAAATTTCCAAACAAATCAATCTTATGATTGGCATTAAAAACCGTAATTCACATCGTTTTCACATCTTAAAACGCTTTGTTCACCACAGAAACAGGCTACTTTTGTTTATGAAGTGAGAAAACATTTGTTTTTGATGCTTGAAAAAGCGATTTAATTTAAAATCTGTTAATGTGGGTCTATGATGTCCAATCGCTTGAAAAGAATTAAAATGTCAAATGAAGTTAGCATGTCAATGCAAAGTGCCGCTGAAGCAAGTATTCAACAAATAAACTGTTTCATTAAATTCAAACCACCATTTAACGCTATTTGAAGCTCTTGAAAGCGTACTGCTAGCTATTAAACTGTAATTGAGAGAACTTGAATTGAAATTTTTATGATGTAAAACCGAGCTAAAAACTCTGTCAAATCCAAAAGTAATGAGCACGGGCCTTAGCATAAAAAGCCTCGGTCAAATGGTCTCTTAAACGAAAGAAAAGGAGCGTTCCCGAATTCCAGAAAATTACTGGTTTAGAAAGAATCAAAATCCAAATCATGGTTTTTCAAAATACCGCGACTTAATGCATACTTTGTCAAAAAACATTTTTTGAAGATTGCTAATTAGAGTGAAATATCAGTATCTGCAATAAACTTTTTGATGTTTTTTTTCCGATAGAGTACAGAAAATCAGGGTTTTGATGGTACTGACTTTTTTCTTGGTTCTATGTTGCAAAAATAAGGCTACAATTTGACTAAACAAATTTAAATTGCTAAAATTGATGGAGAGAAGGCTCACGATCAAACTGCATTTTGTGATCAAAACTCATCAAAAATGAAAAAAAAATATGACATCTTTTTGCTAAATAGCAAAAAAATTGACAGAAAGAACATCAATAGAGTCGATCTACAAAAAAATAACATGTTTGAAGATAGGAAATCAATACTTTTTTTGCTGTTAAAAGTATTGAACAATCCAAAAAAAGATAGTTCTGAAAAATAGATCAATGTGATCAAAATGTTTGCTTTCAGAAACCCAGGTAAAAACAACTGTTTCGAAGCTCACACAGAGGATTAAGCTTAAACTTTGCATTCAATCTCAAAGAAAGTTACCTTAATCTGTGAGCAACCAGAAAAACTTCATAAAACTAAAAACGATAACTGATCGTGCAACTAGAAAACTTACCACGATCCGAAGCGACTAATTTGAGAAGACAACAGAATAAGATGATAACTGCCGAAATTGAAACCAAAAAAGACTTGACCATACTTGTGATTCAGCAGCAATTCTTTCAAGTCGACGTTGAGTTCGAAACAACCCAATGACAACAAAGGTAATTTAAGTAACCAAAGTTAAAGAGACTTGGTGTTGTGGTACAAAACTGAAGGGCTTAAGTAGTTGTTGTTCGGCGTAGACACGAAAAGTGTTGGACAAATAAATTAGCAGTTCAACGGTTGAACTCTTTGTACAAATTTTCCTGTCAACTTGACATAAATCGATAAATGTATTAGTAGTGGTCCAGATATAGCCAGAGGGAGCCGTTCGATCAAAGATTTAAAGTTAAGTATGACGACGGAATTTAGCAGGAAACAATTCAAGTAAAATTTTAGATTGAATTTATTGTAATTGTAAATGTCTTTTTGAAAAAGGGGATTTCCAAAATAAGCCTTCAATTTTGAAGAGCTAGAATCTGCTGTGCTCGCATTTGTTGCAAGTGTTTGAAAGCATATTTTATTTAGTCTGAATTATCAGCGAATAGCAAGCGGCGGACGGACTGAACAATGAAAATACACCAGCAGCAAGAGCTGAAAAAGCTAACTGACACACAATTAAGACAAAAAAATATTACAAAATTATGTATCTAATTGCAACGACAATCATTTAATCAATTACTACAAACCAACGGTTAAAAACACCACTTTTGCTGCTGTTCAAAATCTCATCAAATGGTATGCAGCACAAATGACACATACCACTACTAAAATGATGCCTAAAACCAAGACACGATACGAGCCTGGTGGTTTTACTCGGAAAATTTAGCCACTGACAATTCTTTATGGAAACAAGCAATACTTCTTTTGCGTTTTCAGGGAAAACTCAAAAAATATTCAATTCTACGGAACGACTCGTAGAGTGGTATCAAGTCCAAATCACAGTACGATCAAACCTGTTTAATAATTTCTATTCTGCTAATATTTTAAGATCTAAACAATTTTTTCAAAGAAAACTTTAGTGTGTGTTGTTCGATCTTCGACTTCAGAGTAATAATGCATTCATACTTTTGATTTAACACAAATGGCTACACTATTTTCGCAGTTCTTACACGCTTACATGCTTTCAAAATTTCCGGCTACTTTTGCAATAAAAGGCATTTGAATTAGGCGAAAAATTAAAGAAATAATTAGGCGAATAATTTAAAGTAATAATTGCTATACGAATAATAAAATTGGATTAGAATTATTATAGTCAGCCTCTCGCAAATTTATTATAGTCAGCCTCTCGCGAATTATTGAGGTCAGCCTCTCGCAAATGGTCAAAGTTAGTCTGAAATCCGAAAACATTCAAGACACCACGGCACTACAACACCTTTATTGATTTTTTTTATATAATTTAAATTACTAAGGCTTTAATATGATCCACATTCAATCCTTTACGAGACAGTCAAAATCGGAAATAAAAATCAAAAATTACCTAACGAGACAATTCCTTCCTTTCTTTTCGTGAAATTTTCAGAACAACAAGGTTGTAGTTGCAGTCCAGGAAGCACAAAAAATCCGTTCACAGTTACCCAAAGCAAAAATATACCAAAAATGAGAGATTTTTTGTGCTTTTTTTTCTGGATTAGCAGGCGTGTTTAAAGATTAAGCTCCAACAATAGTTAATTATAGCTTAAATTGAACAGCTGCAAAAGGAACATGATGTACATAGAGCCCACAGACAGGTAGAAAATAGTCAATGAAGGCAAGTAAACAAAAAAATTACTTTTGAAAAAAATCCAATTTTCGAATTTCAAATTAAAAGTTGTGGCCTTAATGCTCTTTGAATTTCAAGACAAATCTACGGTTGAAACTTTTTAAGGAAATTTAGTCAACTTGAAAGAAAACTGGATATATAGACTTTGTTTGCATTGGAAAATCTGAAATTTAAAATCAACTTTCGAAACTAGAAGTTGTTCACGTTTTTTGGCGCCATTTCCACGTTCGTATTTGGTTAGCGCAATTTATCCAAATTTTAGCAAATGAAGACCTATATCAGAGTTTTCACTAGGTTGTGTGACTCTTAAAAAGCTATGAAATGAAACCAGGATCTATTCTATCAAAAAATTAAACTTAAAACAGACAGATCAGTTTTTTTCGATTTTTTTTTCAAATCCAAACTACGACTCAGAGGATTAGAAGATGATATTATACTCGATGCCCTCAAAATGTACCTGATTAGGCTCGACAAAAACCTAATATAGTCGTTCGCTGTTTTCTACCCCAGGGGGTCTCTCTCGGAGCAATTCACACAGAAGCAACTTGAAAAAAAACCACAAAAAACACCCAAAACTTTCGTATGTTTGTTTCATATCAAGCTCATTTTGATGAAAAACTGTGGCAAAACAAAATTGCCAGCTTTAAATAAGCATTAAAAATTACTGTGCGGTACTATGCAGAAAAATTTTGGATTTGTATGAGTTCAAAACGTGTGTTTTTTAAAAAGCAGAAAAAATAGAGAAATTCAAGAATTTTTTAGTTCAAAATTTCGACAAGCAATTAATTTGTAAGGCTTCACAAAAAATATATCAGATACCACAAGGATTATGATCACAAGTTGCTAGAAACTAGGACTAAATAAACAGACGAAAAACGTTTTTTAAATGAAAGATACTGCTGAAAAACTGTCATCTTTCTTTTTTCTTCACTAGCAGAAAATATTGGGTTGTATAGAAACGAAAACCCTATTTTACACTTTTTGCTGGAACTTGCAATGCAACTGAAACAACACTATACAGAACGAGAGAAAACAATTCAGACATAGCGAAATTGAATTAAATTGACATTTTTGAAGAAAAAAATCTGAAAATTACGAGCAAAATGTAGATGAACAAACTTTCAAGATAGTTTGTCTGATACCTTTTAAAACCTTCTAAAGCCAAATTTTTTAAAATAAGAACAGAAGTCCGCTCCGAAGTATCGAGAAAAACATCAAACACAGAGGCGAAATTGCACTTCGCATACACAAGCAAAAATATGACCAATAACGCTACTGGGGAAAAACTGAAGGAGTAAAACTTTGAGTCCACAAAATTTTTTAAATTAGCTACATAATTGCTAAGTGACGGAAGCCAATTCAGACGCATTAGCAGTAGCAGTCAAATTGAAAAAAAAAGAAATTTACCAATTAACAGAACTCAATTTATAGAGCGGACGCATTTAAATTAGTATACGAAAAAGTTCATTGAAAACATCCGACCCTGCCCAGGTTCAAACCTTCTTATTTGGTTGCGAGTCTCCTACCCTACTTCTACGCTACAGAACCATAACACCTTGATGCTAAAGTGCTATTTGTAATACAATAGTATGTATTAATATCCTTCGCATTTCAAGATTTCTTGAAACTTTTTCTTTCAAGATTTTTTGAAACTTTTTCGAAGAAGGTTGGAGAAGTGATTTGAAATTTCAAAAAACATTGTCAGAGTTGAATAAAAAAAAACAAATGCCAAAGTAGAAAAAACATAAGGTAAATAAGCCGACTGAATTGAAGCCCACATTCAATAAGATGAAAACAGCCGAAAAAATCATACAAAACATAAGGCTTACAAACCGGCTACAATGCAAAACCTTTATAGGCAAAACAAGAACGCTGCATATTCAAGCTGAATATTTGCAAAATTACCATTTCAAACTTCTTTCTAATTATGTACCATTCTGTGAACGTTTTTTACTGGAAAAGACGTCTAGTACCCATTTGCAATATCCTTGTTTATTGCAAGGGTAATAAGATTTAAGATAAAAACGACAAAAAATGGTTACGACAATAAAAAAGGCTTAAATTCTTTATTTTAGCAAGAATTCATTATAAAGCTAAAACTTCTGTTCAAATTGTCAATACTACAACTTTGAAGAAAGAACTTATTCGAGCGAAGCCACCTTAGGCCAAAAAGAGGTCCAAAAATTCTGACACCAGAAAACTTTCCATTCAATTACTACTGAAAATTAACCCGCAAACAGAAAAAAATAACGCTTAACAAGAACTAGCAACCCAGTACTGAACCGTAACATTGTTAAGCAGCTCAAAAATCAAATGCAATCAAAAACAATTGCGATACAACAATAACATCGCATTACAAGATATGATCATTCAAAATCAGACTGAGTTAATTTACAAATTACAAAATTTCAGTTATAGTAAGAACTACTCAAATCAAAATAAATCCTAGCGTAAAAAATCGTACAAAATAATTGAACGACATTTAAAAAAAAATCAAAAATGAACCGACTGAAACTAGGACAAAAAACAAGAATTCGAAAAAAGTCTCAATCTCGATTACAAAAACTTGCGATGCCACAGAAACATAACATGACAGCTAACTGAAAGAATAATGAGACGAAAACTACCTAACAAAAACCCTTCCCAATCATGAAAAACTATTAAATTAATAACATTTTTGAGTTTCTAAACATATTTTTGCTTTTCCAACGGTGTAATATGAGGCAACTAAACTAATGAAACAATAATAACAGTTTAAGCGGAATAAACATTTAATGCGAAAAAAAACCTGTACATAAATTGCGTATAAACTCATGAAATCAATTTTTTTTTACAAAAAACGGTATGATGAATAGACTATTCTATTCAAAAACTATCAAATAAATTTATTAACAGAAATTTTTCGTGATCGGGACTGAAAATCGAAAAAAATTTAAAAAAATTCAAAATTTACCATGTTTTTTAATTGTAATCTTAAAGAGGGTCAGCGGTTTTTGTTTGAAATTTTCAAAATATAATCTCATATTTGAATTAAAATCAGATGATAGGAATTGAAATTCAAAGAAAGAGTTTTAGCTAAAAACGCAAACGCCGACAAAACCAAAAATGACATCCAATAAAGGCAAGTAAAAGAAAAACTAGAAAACGGTTGCAACATTCTTTCTCATCACAAAAAAAATCGCATATTTGAAAAAATTTGCAGTTTTTCAAAATCTGATTACCGTGTTTCAAATTATTATTATTACCTTTGAAATAAGAAAAGGTGTTGCAACTGAGCACAATACTTTTTCCCTTAGAAAAAGCACTTAAAAAATGTTCGCTTATTCATTGTTTTGTTTCCTTGGAGAAAAAACATAAGTCAAGAATTTAAATGAAAATTGATTTTTTTTACAGAAACAAATAACTAGAACTATAAAAATTGCATAAAGTTATATTACCTGAACCCTCAAGAAATTATAAAGCAAGATGTTGAGAATTTTCTTGAATTCAAAATATTTCAAAAGAAACAGAAACCAAAGAAAAATAGCAAAAAATATTATAACAAAACAGAATTAGTTCAGACAGAGTTACCGAATTTTCAAGCTCGCAGTTGAAACTATTTAAGTGAAATTACGAAGGCCAGAATGAAGCGATGAGTGCTATCAACAGGTCAAAAAGGTGTTTCTCTTTGACAGTTTTTTTAAAATAGGAAAAAAGTCTGGAACTTGACTTGATAACACTTCCAAGTCGGAAATGTACAATGAAGC